TCGCCGTTTATAAAAACAAAAAAATACATTTGCAGCACACCCCTAGCGGTTCCTCTCCCCACAGTACAACGCACACTAAAAGAAATCTCCAAAAATACAGGTATACCCAAAATGAAAGAACAAAAACCCAAAAATAAGTAGATCTGTGCTCCTGTATTACTAAACATGTAAAGAGAAAAAAGATGTACAAAAAATGTCTTCAGTCAAGTAATAATTCTCCAAAAGCACTCACACGAGCAAACAAAAGACCTATCTGGAGCGTAGACCAAAGAGATCCAAAAACAATAGCAGCCAGTGGAAGTCGTGAGAACCAGAAACATAGCAGAAAGTAGAAACCAATTTTTGTATATATATATATATATATATATATATAAGAAAGGTAAAAAAACTATAGTCTCTCATTCCATCATTCAGATTACAACATTTCCACTCATTACATGGGGAACGGCTAGAAAAAACCTAATTAAGACTATTACAACATACCAAACACAAAAATAACAATGAAGGAAAGATATATAACATAATAATAAAGGAATAAAAAAAAAGTTGAAATAGGAAACTCCCTCTAATAGAAATTGAACATGTGGGACCGATATTGTCGGCGGTCTAGGCTATATAACAAGGATAGAATTCCACACTCTCCCTCAAGCTAAGTCATAAATATTGTAAAGTCCCAACTAGGTATTCATATCATTGAAGTTTCCTGGAGGTAGGGTAGTGAAAACATCAGCAACTTGAAGATGAGTTAGAAGATAGATTATGTGAGTAATGCCACCATTGACCTTTCTAGAGATAAAATGTCTATCAATCTCAATGTGTTTGGTTCTGTCAAGATGCATAGGGTTCTTTACAGTACTAATGATAGCTTAGTTGTTACAAAACATTTTTATGGGTTGAAGTGGGGCATCTCAACCCATTTAGTAACATTTGGATCCATATTTCTTCACAAATCCCGAAGTGTATGGTATCAGATTCGGTACTACTTCTAAAGACTAATGCTTGCTTTTTGCACCTCCATGTGGTAAGATTTCCCCATACTAGGAAAAGTACCCAGATGTAGATCTTCTGTCAGTAAGTTTCCAACCCAACTAGCATCAGTATAGACTTCTACCTCCATGTTGGCTGACTAATTAAATAATTACCTTTTTTCAGGCATCTTCTTAAGAAATCTCAGAATTTCGTAAACCATCTCAAAATGTTCTTCATCTGTACTAATTCATATATTGACTCACAATGCTTATAGAATAAGCGATATCAGGCCTAGTGTGTAAAAGATATATAAATTTTCTCACCAATCTCTGGTATCTACCTTTTTTCACTGATGTCTTTTCTCCCCTTGAATGTTACCTTTTGTTGAAATTAATAGGAGCTCAGCAGGTTTACGCTTCAACATTCATGGCTCTTTGAGTAGGTTTAGGATGTACTTTTTTGGCATATCACAATTTTCTTATTGAAGCTAGTCATTTCACTGCCCATAAAGTATCACATAGCTCCTAAATCCTTGATTTCAAATTCAGCCGCAAAAATCTCCTTAATCTTCTCAATAACTTTTTCATCATCACTTGGAAGGATCATATCAATTACTTAGACAATAAGTATAACTTATTTATCTTCATATGTATGTCTTATGAACAGTATATGAGCAGCTTGACATTGAACGTATCAATTAGATTTCAGTCTTAACAAACGTATCAAACCAAACCCGCGAAGATTGTTTGATGCCATAAAATGACTTTTTTAGTATACAAACCAGATGTTTATTTGAAATATTTTCTAGCCTTGGTGGGATCTCCATATACCCTTTTTTCCTCAAGGTCTCCATTCAAAAGGGAGTTCATGCAGTTCCCACTCTTTATTTAATGCCAAGGAAAGAAGCATTCTTATAGTGTTTAGCTTGGCCACTGATACAAATGTCACTTGATATTCTATCCCATAAAACTGAGTGAAATATTTGGCAACCAACCTAGCCTTAAACCTATCAATTTTCTCATCTATTTTGTACTTGAAATTGAACACACATTTGCACCCAACACATCTTTTATTTAGAGGAAGTTTTGTAAAGATTTACGTGTCATTTAGATCAAGTGCTTGGATCTCATTTTTTAACTGTTTTTTTTATTATTATTATGGACATTAAAGTGCTTCATGAATAGATTAGGGCATTTACAAATTATCAAGATTAAATATAAAAGCATTATAAGATGATAATAATATTTCTTAGGCAACCTACTTCTGGATAGAATAGTCTGTGCAACTTTTCACATCTTCTCGACGGGATTCTACCTCACATAGAATTTCAGAGATGTGTGGATTTAGGTTTGATTGTAAATAGTTTTGTGGTTCATATTGTCTTTATCTTGGTCAATGGATTTTTTTTCTCCATGTGGTTCTGTGGTTCATATTGTCAATGATTTAGAAAAAGCTTACAATAAGGTTCCAAGAGATATTCTTTGGAGAGTTATTGAGAAGAGGTGTTGATTGATATGACTTACATTCAAGTCATTAAAGATATGTATACAAGAGTTGTTACATGTGTTCAAACAGAATGAGGATTGCCCAAATATTTTCCTGTTGTTATTAGTTTATATCAGGGATCGACTTTAAGCCCAAATCTTTTTGCTTTAGTAGTATTTTTTTGTTAATGCTATCCTTATCATGGATAAGACGAGAGAAAAAGTCCAGGAAAAACTTGAATTATGGAGGTCTACCATGAAGTTTAAAGGCCTTCCTTTGAGTAGAACTAAAACTAAATACATGGAATGTAATTTTAGTAGCAGTAGCTCTAGTGAAAGAAATATAACTATGGGTGATCAATTTATTAAAAGGTGTGAACACTTTAGATATCTCGGGTTTATTGTTCAAAGTGATGGTGAAAGTGATGGGGATGTTATTAGTAGAATTCAAGTTGATTGGTTGAAGTGGAGTAATGCTTCGGGCCTATTGTTTGATAGAAAAGTACTACTTAAACTGAAAGTAAAATTTTATAAGATGGTGGTGATACATGCAATGCTCTATAGCGTTGAATGGTGGCCTTTAAAAGAGAAGCATAAAACTAAGTTAAGTGTTGCTGAGATGAGAATGATTAGGTGGATTAGTGGCTTTACACATTAGAGACAAAATGTGAAATGAATATATCTGTGATAGAGTTGGTGTAGCTCCAGTGACGGACAAAATTAGAGAGAGTTGTCATAGATGGTTTGGTCACATTACAGGTCGATCATCTGATGATCTGATTAGAAGAGTAAATGTTTTAGATTCGACTTATGTTAGAAAAAGGTAGACCTAGGAAGACATGAGAATTTTGTATAAAAAATAATCTTAATTTATTATAATTAAATGAAAATATGATACTAAATAGGACGCAGCGGAGAAAAAAGGATTCATGTAGCCGACCCCACTTGGTGGGATAAAGGTTTTTTTGTTGTTGTAGTGTACACACGAAGTTCCTTGAGCACTAGTTATCAATCTCAGGTAGGACTTGGGAGACAGGATGGTTAGAAGGAAATAGAATAGGTTGTAGTGACTTTAGTTCAGTGTGGGTATCTAAAGTAGTGTTCCAGATTTTGATATTCACCCAAATCTCCCCTTGAATTTTAGATTTGGGGTAAGAGGATTATTTTTCAAAGAATATAACATCTATGGAGTTATAGTATTTTTAGTAATCAAAGAATAGTATTTGTACCTCTTTATGTTAGAAGCATAACCAAAGAAGATATATTTGATAGCTTTAAGGTAAAATTTTGTGCAGTTTAACTAGTGAATGTGAACAAAAGAAGATCAAATATTTTTAGAGGAAGATTGGATGAGAAGACTCTAACATGAGGGTATGTTTCTGTAAAAATATGGAGAGGGGCTTTGAATCTAAGGACCATATAGGGAATTCTATTAATGAGGTAGATGACCGTGAGCACTGCATCTCCCCGAAAAATTTTTAGAACATTGTGGAAAAGCATTATAGACCAAGATACCTCGATGAGATGTTTATTCTTTCTCTCAACTATTTTATTTTGTTTTGGAGTCTCAACAAAGAAACTCACATAGATCAGACCATTTGTTTGCAAGATATGCTCCAAGGATCGAGTTAAAGTATTCATTTGCATTATTAGTTTTGAAAATCTGAATTTTGCATTGTAACTGAGTATGAATCAAGTCATAAAAAGAATTAAAAGATTTATGTACTTTCAGATTTCTCCTTTATGAGAAATATCTAACTAGTTCTAGCGATCATCAAAGAATTAGGTAAAACATTTGACTCTATTGATGATATTCAATATTGATGACCCTCAAATATCACTGTGGATGATAGAGAAATGATTTGAGATTTTGTACTAAGACAGATGATACAAGGGATGAGTATGCTTAGCCAATTAAGAAGTTTCACACAGGTAAAACACTGTTTTTTATTAATAAAGAGTTGAGTGTATGACCTTGCAACAAAATAAAAATTGGGATAACTGATACGATAATGCCATAATAAAATTTGACATTCAATAGACTCGCACATAACATATTT